TACAAGAAATGTCCTGTTCAGTAAGTCACCAGCAAATAAAAGCTAACCCTAAAATCTTCAATGTAAAAAATATATTCTGTTACAAACTCTTAGAGCATGAGATTCAAAAGAATATTTCCTTGAAATGCAAGCTAAAAAGTTTGACTGGATGGTGTATTTGCACTGATACTTGCTTTTTTTTGTGTTCGCCTTGTCTCTGAGTGTCATTCATTCAATACAGGCATAGTCTGTGCGGCAAGCTCCAGTGCACATCTGTTAGTCTTCAAAATCTTCCTGCTTGGAGCGTTGTCAATAACGCATCTGGGGTTTTATGCTGGTCTTCTGACTTTGACTTGGGATCAGATGTCCCTGATCCTGCTCAAGTTCATGACGGAACAGCCTGTGGAGAAAAGAAGGTAAAATGAACCACAGCAGCATTACAGAATATATTCCACCAGCTGGAAAGTTCTTAACTTTCAAAACCATTACATAACTCTCTTATTTGTATGCCATAATATAATAAAAAAATCTGCTTTTTGAGATGTACACATACAAACAATTAATTAGCTTTTCAAAACCTGGGATGCTACAAATCAGTGAACTACATTATCAGTTATTCCAATTACTCTATCAACATGCATCCACAGACTTAAGAAAATCTGAGACAAATACAGACAAATACAGCTATAAAATTGTGAAGTACTGAATGTTCTACAGCCCTTTTTCCTGACATTTAAGTAAAAGCTGTAGACTTGTAAACATATACATTTATACAGTATATTTATAAAAGGGATGGGATTTTTTGAAGTTTTGTGTTTGAAAGACTTTAATTACTTTTACCAGGCCTGTCTAGGTTTTGAATGTGTTAATGCAAGTCATCTGGGCTACAGCTGTGATGTAAAGCAGAAGTGTAACGATAATGGGGTGAGTAGATGGTGTTTTCATGCCCTGTTCTAGAAGACAGAGATAGGTGCAAAATCGCTGCATAAAAGCAGTAACCAGCCAGATGGGTTTGTTTTTTTCTGATCTGTATTAAAAGTTAAGTCCACTTTTTTATCTGTAATTCACGTTGCCAGTATACTGGAAACCTCTGAGCACTAACATTGAGAGACATTTCTTCTGAATTTCCCTAGGGAATTTGCTAATATTACCGAGCTGTTGAATTGTAAAAGGAAAATATTCCTTTGAGGAAGACAGCCCAGTGATTCCTGATTTATATATGTCTCTGTGAAAAATCAAAATGGAGTCCAAGGGTTGTAAAACTGAGAAGTTCTTTGGACTGTAATCTATAGCAGGCAAATAACAAACCAAAGGTTAACTTCTACAGAGGATTAACTGCTGGTATCAGTATCGCTCAGTGTTTTGGGATGTTACGGTGGGGGAGAGCTTGTTCCCAAGCAATACTAAGCAATATTTCTTGTTTCCACGTGCAATTCTTAATGTGTATCTCCAAATATATACTGGAGGTTGAAAGTGGCCACTTGCAGAGAGGCGTTGTTCGTGTGACTAATCCCTGTTGTATGGGGTGCAGGTGTGTAACAACAACGGGAACTGCCACTGCAATTCTGGATGGGCGCCGCCGCTCTGTAACCGGCCAGGCTACGGCGGCAGCGTTGACAGTGGTCCGGCTCACATAGGTAAGATACTGAAACTGGCCTTCCTTCTGCCCCCCGTGTCTGACAAAATAATCTACTAATAACAGGTTTTTTTCAGTCTCTTTTTGACTGTTTTTTTTCTACTGCATGGGACACTTAATCATGGACTGACTTGAAGAACAAACATTATTATCTGATGTGTAGGTTAGCAGACATCAAGGAAGTTGGTCCAAGGGAGAATTTGACCTCTATTTTGTCTGAGATAAAAAGCAATACATTAGTTGCTTAGAATTACTGTTACTTTTTTTTAAATAGTTAGATATTTAGATATTTACTTAGGTATTTAAAACTGAGTTCTGATAAAATGAATGTCATAGAGGAATGCTATAGTTTGAGAATGAAACCAGCAGCCTTTATATATGGAAAGGGTCTCTCAGAAATGAGAGGGGTTAAGGAGGTGCACGCAGCAAGCAGCGGTTGGCTCGCGTAAGAGCCATGAAATTCTGCAAAGGGAAAATGGAGCAGATTTTGCTGGCCTTCACGCTGAGAGACCATGCAAATGGCTTGTATTTATTAACAGCTTAGGAAGACAAAGAAGACATGCAGATCAATTGTGGGTAAGCAAATCCAAAATGAATTTGGCTGCTTTAGAATTCTTAAAAAAATATAGGGCAAAGGAAAAAGGCTGTATACCATACAACAGGGGGTGGGTAAAGCAGAAAGAGCTTGTGATAAAATAAGGCCAATCCTACTTTTCTGATCATAGCATTTTGTAAATTTCAGTGGAGTTACTAGTTTTAATCTATAATAATTTGAAGATTGTAGTTTTTACAACAGAAAGGTGTTCTTAGCAGAAAAAAATGCTTTAATATAAGGTTAAACGAGATTACTATCTTACATTATTTCAATTCTTTTTCTCTAGATACATCACTTCGGGATGGTCTACTTATTTTTTTCCTCCTTGTGTTGCCAATAGTAATCCTTACTGTACTAGCGGTAATTAAGCGCGATGCAATAAAAAGAAAGCTTTGCAGGAAAAGTAGAAGACCACACAGGTATTTCACTTACTACAATGCGTATTTCAACACTTGACAGCATGCTCCTGATTAATTTAGCAAGCCAGTTAGACGCTTTATCTATACAAAGAATTCCTAAAACTTCACTAAAACTAAAACTTCACTAAAACTCCTAAAAGAAAAGACTTCCCTGCTAGTAGTAGTAGTAGGGAGTTTAATAGCCAGTACCCTGCTATGAGGTAGTTTAATCCAGATACTCCAGCTGTCGGTTCTCAAGCAGTTTTCCCCAAAATACATTGCACTTTCCTAATTGTTATTGATAATCGTATTGCATGGACACAGGGGCACAGCGCATTGAAATTATTTGCCGAGGCCAGAAAGGGGTGGATTCAGAAACAGAAGCTGCAGCCTCGTCCCTTGAGAAACACCGCATCCCTGAAGGTAGTTAAACCCAATGGGGATTTGCCTGATGACGTGGTTTTTATTTCAGGGATAACAACGTGCAGCAACCAAAGCAAAATAACAGACCAAGTCATAACCCAAGAAATAATCAGGTAAGGTAGATGCATACTTGGATTATTTCATGTTGAGCAATCCAAACGATACAGTGCCTTTTCTCTAATATAGTTACTGATGACTTTGTGGCTTTTTGATACATTGAAACCATCTGAATTCCCAAGTATTTAAAACAATTTATAATGTGTTAGACAGGATTTCTGTTTGGGTAAGTATGAGCTTTATTGTCTGCCCTGTCAACTCAGGCTGTGAATAGTATGGGATGGAACAGGCTGCTACTTAATGGAGCAGCCAAAGACTGAACTCTGAATTCTGCGGCCCAGTACCACAGAAGATGCTTAGCCAGGCTGTGGGTCTAGTTCTGATAAAAGAAAATAAAAATTATCAAAACAAAACGTTGCAGGAGAATATGAAGAACGTCACAGGAAATGAAAATTAGTTCTAAAATACCACTACATTAATACTGAATAATAGCCACGCTTTGAAATCTGTGGGTTTTATTAACTTGATTTTCTGCAACATCTTTTCCAGCCTGCCACATCGGGTCCTGATCTTTTTAAGATACCGGATTTCCCTGGTCCAAGGTCCGTAGTATTTAAAACCTTCTTCACTTCATGTTTGCTATGTTTACGTTGCTGTATCATTTTAAGTGAAGTTCCTAATGTCTCACGTCCTGCTTAGGAGGATTTTTCATGCAGCATCATATGAGATAAAATAGATTAAATGCTTGAAGGAGAAATGCTGTTTTTCTGCTTGTATAGAAAGAATGGGACGTGTAAATGCTACTAGGGAGAGGGAGGGGCAGAAAGAGTTAAATATATGTATCAATGCTAGCAACTGTTTAAAAATGTTAAAGAACCAGTTTAGAAATACCGATTGTCTCAAGTCATAAAATACCTCATGAAGTGTGTTTTCCACACCTCAGGCAGCCAGTACAAGCCCAGTTTCCTCCAGTTCCTTCCGGACCCCAACGACCCACAGTCCCACCTAGACCAGCTGTCTGAAAAGTTGCTTGGGAACCCTCAACCAATTCCGACAAGTAACTGGTCTGAAAAAAATTAAAGATTGCAGCCCTCTAGTCCTCTCCTTGTGCAGCCAAAACCCCTTCTGAGAGCACACACCTCTGGAAAAGACTTGATGCTAAGAGGCACTGAACACAGATTTTGTAATATCCCCTTATTTTGCTAATTGCTGCTGGCTGTATTTGTGCCTCTTCTACCTCACCTCTTGTTTTTCTTTAAATCAGAAGCTTGAAGTTCAACTCTTGTTAGATTAAATCTATAACAGCATCAGAGAACAGGACTCTTCTGAAGTGTAGCCTTACTTGCAGGCCAAAGAGAAGTGAATTCAGTTATTTACAGACATAATTTATTCACCTCTATTCATACGCTGCTGTGAAAATGAGAACGTAGATTGACCTCTTGGGAAGTCTGGAGCCCGTCTACCTCCTGGTGCGTCCTCTCGGCAGCGTGCCGCCGGGGACCCCCCGCACACCAGCCTTGCCGACAGTTCCTGTGCCTTGCTCTGAGCCTTGTCTCAGGTCCAAGCGTATCGAAGCTGGGATCCAGATCCCACCTCTCAACACTTAGTAGCTGCGTTACTTTCCAGTTCAGGTAGTTTATAAAAGTGACCTCATGCAGGGACACTAGCAATGGAAAGAAACTCTGTAGATAACGTATCTGAGTCTAAAAGAAACAAGCCATCTCTGTTGCTATAGAAAACATGGTATATCAGGAGATATAGTATACAACTGAACAGTGTTTTAACATTGAGATTTTTGCTAGAAACTGATTCTACTACAAAAGCAACAGATAACTTGCGTCATTCTAAACGGGACAATTAGAAAACGGTACCGATTTAAAAGAAAGTGTATGATGTTACATAGTTTGTCAAAATGGCAGCTAGTGGAAAAGCAGCTGCTACGCCAAGAAAAGCTCACGGGCAAGAACAAAGCTGTGGATACCGACTGACTGGTACGTCGGAGAGTAAATCACACACTGGCTGTCTTCACGTGCAAACTTTGGGAATATGAACTAGCAAAAAGAGTTGAATAAACGATGGAATCACCTCGCCAAGAGAATATTTCTAATCCCTTAGATGGTCATTTCAAGAAAATATTTCTAATCCCTTAGATGGTCGTTTCAGAAAAGAGCTCGATGAAAGAACCCAAAATATACCGCAGGCAAAAATCTGCACTGGCAAGGAGCGTCTCCTGAGGAACTGTTGTCTGTCTTAATTCCTTAGAATCTGAAATTGTTATTATCAGTTAAATGTTCCTGTCATTTAGAGCTTATTAACAAGCATATTACAATAATACAATTTAACATAGATCATCAGTGTCGGCACACTTTGTAGCATCTTGATTTTATGACCCTCAGAAGAACCCGCCGCTGGGCTCGCCGGGGCTCACTCGGCCGTCCGACGCTTCTGGGTTCGCTAAGGTGTATTACTGAATTTATTACCAAAAGAAAACAGAGTAGAACGGGGCGTTTC